AAGAGATGAGAATGTAAGGAAAGAAGAAAAAGGGGGGAAGAAAAAAGGAGAGCAAAAGTAACACAGAGAAGGAGAGAAACAGAATTTTAAGTATCAACTGGCAGCTGTGGGCTGCACAGAAAGCTATTACTAGTGAGCACTCTCTATAATATCCTGCTTAACTAATTGCACAACCCTTCAGCTACTCTAATTCTTCTTTATTATGAGGGATTTTTTTTTTTTACCTTTTGAGGTAGGGGGGAGTCGTCAACTTTTTTGAAATGCCAATGAAAGTTATAAATTGTCCCTAGAAAAATACACAGAGAAATATATAGAAATCATTTCATGGACCTCCCTGAAATGAATTCATAACACTCATGTTAAGATCTACTACTTTACAACTTGCTTTTATTTAGATAACCAGAGTAGCATATCTGAGAGGTTTGGGTCATAAATATTATTTTACTAACCCTGTAAGCCCAGACCTCGTAAGGAGTCATAAACTGATATTTGGTCAGAAGTTACCCCATTTGTTCCTGTGTAGACTTCAGTTCCTGTTCTGGAACACAAATAAAATCAATAAGCCGCTGATTGGATTCTGGGTATGTACAAGATGTTTTTGTGTCTTGGCACCAGATGTAGAACATAGCTTTGTCCCTGACACTTGGGGATTTTGCTGTGTAACTGGAAGCTTTGTTGTTCTTTTTACCAAAGTATTCAAGAGTAGGTAGCCAGTTTGGATTCTAAATACACGCATTCATTTACCCTCTCTAGAGCACTGAGCCCAAAGAATGAGTTTGTTCATTGTAAGATGATTCTATAGACATCTAGAGTGATTCACACATGTTGAGAATGTAATAAGCTAATCCAAGGTAGAAAGGTAGCTATTATTTGTGATGCCTCTACTAGGGTTAGGGAGCTATGCTGGCATAGTGGTAAGGAGTTGCATTGCCAACCCAAAGTCACCTGGTTCAAATCCACCAGCTGTTCCACGGAAGAAAGATGGGCAGTCCCATGTGATTAACTGCCTCTGAAAACCCACTAGATGGTCAACTATGAGTCAGTTTTGACTCAATTGTACATGACAACAACCACCACCACTAAGGTTAGGCCCACCAAAAGAAAGCAGGATATAGGATATGGTCATCCTTGGAGCTGGGGTGTAAGGTGTAAGGGCTTGCCAAGTTTTATTCTTTTTTTTTTTTTTTGCCAAGTTTTATTCTGAGCCCCTACAATCTTGCTTGAGTGTCCTTCAGACAAACTGAAAACCAGGTAAATGTCAGCCCTTTAAAGGGTTAACACAAATATAGTCTTTGATATCTATTGCATCTCAATGTTAAGAAAACAAGGATACTTTAAAATGTAAATGACCACTGAAGAAAGAAAAATGATTTGTAAACCTACTAAAGAAATCATTATACCAGAATAAAACATTTTAGAGGCCAGTGGGGAAGAGAATAATAATAATATTTTTTTAAAAAAAAACACAACAAGGATTCTTACCACTGGATCGATAGGCAACATCATGATAGATGGAGAAAAAAAATTGAAACTGTCAACAACATCATCTTACTTGGATCTACAATCAACATCCTTGGTACCAGCAGTCAGGAAATCAAGAGATGTATTGCAACTGGGAAAGTCTGCAGTCAGGGACCTCTCCAAATTATTAAGGAGTAATGATGTTGGTGTGTCTGATTCAGACCATGATCTTTCCAATCACTTGCTATGCATCTGAGAATTGGATAATAAATAATGATGACAGAAGAATTGATACCTTGAGCTGTGGTGTTGGAGAAGAGCACTGAACATCCCATGGACTGCCAAAAGAACAAACAAATGTCTTGGAGAAAAAGTAGCCAGAGTGCTCTTTGGAGGCAAAGATGATAAAGCTTCATCTCACATACTTCAGGCATGTTGCTAGGAGGAGATGTTCCTTGGAGAGAGACATGATGCTCAGAAAGGCAGAAGGTCAGCAAAGGAGAGGGAGACCCTCAACCAGATGGAGTGACAGTGACTACTGCAGTGGGCCCTAGTGTGTCAGGAAGTGTGAGGATGGCACAAGATAGGACAGGGTTCAGATCTGTTGTTCATGGAGTCACTATGAGTCATATTTGACTCTATGGCACCTAACAACAACAGTAATGACCATATCTACTATCTTCTGTTGGTAAACATGTACTGCAATTTAAAGTTTGGCCCAAGGAAACTTGCTCAGACTTACACTGACAGTTTATAGAATTTAGTATTTCACCTATTCTCATGTAGTTTCTGTGGATGACTGTTACTGGAAGATTAACAGAGAGTGACTGATAACTCAGACTGCCAAATTTTGTGTACATTTTGTTGATTGTGTTTACTATATCATTTGCCTGAACTTGTTGGATATAGTACTTCAAGCAGGACTCTTAACAGTAGAAATGGTATCACCTATATGCTTCATTGAATTTTATCATGAGATTGGTGGGATTCCATATAACAGATAGTTATAAGACAAAACCTCCAGCTGTACTTTTCAGGCCTTGGTTTTTTACTTGGTAAATTGGTAGAAGTCTAATAAAGCTATCTTACTACATCTAAATGTAGGATTTTTCTGCTTCTTTGAACAGACATATTTGACACATTTAACTGAATGATGCCTTGACAAAGGCCTAAATCAAGTTAGCTATTGCTTCGAGTGAGAGAAAGAAAAAAAATAATGGAACAAGGATAGAGTAGAATGGGATGGCAAGTAGGCTAAGAAAAATAAATAGTGCTTTTTTCCCCCAAGGGTTTCAAAGCTTGAACAGCTAGGTTAGATCTCAACATAGTTGTTTATTTTTTATTTTTTAATTTTTTTATTATACTAGTTTATTTACAAAATTCAAATATGTTGTTTTTCACACCAGTTTCTTCCCATTTCCCTCACCTCCCCACCCATTAAATTGTGTGACCCCATGATTAATCCCCCACTCCATACATCCTCACCCCTCAGCTTCTACCTTTCCCCCACCCCTTGGATCCTCATTCTACATTAATAGTTTTATACAGTATTTGTCCTTATGGGACTGAGCTTGTTCACTCAGCATAATGCTCTCCAGTCCCTCCCAAAGTAGGTAACAATTTGCAAAGTTATTGCTCCTGCATGGCAAAGTTTAACAGGACAGCAAGTAATAAATGTTGGAAAGGATATGGTGAGATAAGAACTCTTATATATTGTTGGTGGGATTGTACAATGGTACAGCCACTCTGGAAGGCAGTTTGGCACATCCTCAAAAAGCTCAACATAGAAATTCCATATGACTCAGCTAGTTATTCCACTCCTTGGAATATACCCCGAGAAAAGGAGAACTGAGACTTGTACACCAATATTCATAGCAGCTTTATTCACCATCAGCATAATTTTTTTTAAGACTCACAGGAACAGCTTAACTTTGTGAATGGGTCAGGCAAAGGGAAAGCTGGGTTCCTTGTGTAGAGGGACAAGGTCTTCTTAAATTCATTTCCTTCTCTGGAACTTTGTTCTATAAAGAATGTGTGATTAGCTCCTCAGAGGAATAACAAAGTACTTTACATACTTGATTGTACCAAAGGTAAATTAATAACACACTTGAAGAGGATGAAATGAACTCTTTCATAGAAGTTAGATTCAGAAGTATTCAGGCAAGATAGTGATGAGACCTTGTACCTACTCAAGTCTATTTGAAATCAGTTCTGTGAACTTCCCAGTCTGCCAAAGTGCTTTCTTTGAGCTATGGGAGCCTCCTCAAACATGCTCTTACACAGAGTTTAATCCAGGTGCTGTGAATGAACTTTTAACTGTGGAATGAAAGCATATTAATCCAGGTATAGGTTTCCAATATGTAAGAACACTACCATTACCTACCTAGGAAGAACTCTTTAGAAAATCTAGGACAAAGGAAGATAGAACCTTCTAAGAACCATAAGGAAAGGAAGATTAAATAAGACAGCAGGATCAGTCTAAAATGGAAATAGAAGGAGGAATGTGGAGGAGAGAGATAGGACATCTTTGTGGATAGCCAGTAGGTGGGTGGGAAGTAGTCTCCATGGTAATAAGTCTCTTACAGCAGCAAATCCCAGCAGGTGGTAGAGAAGGTAGTCTCCATGGTGACATGTCTCCTCAGTGAAAAATACCAGTGGGTGAGTGGGAAGACTTGTTTCTCTGGCAACACACTGCATTGACTTCTGCATTCATCCATCAGACTAAGGAGATGGGTTAACCCAGTAGTTTTCCAACTTTAGCAGGCATCAGGATCAAATAGAGGAGTTATTACAAATAGATTGTTGGGCCCCACTGCCAAAATTTCTGATTCATTAAGTTTAGAAGGAAGGGAATGAGGATCTGCCCTAAGAATGAGAACAAAAAGCTAATCTGAGGCCCTGTAAAAAGAGATGAACTGATCTGTACAGAAGTGTAGGGAGAACTCAATGACTGTTGCCTTTTGGAACCTTAATTTTCTTAAGAGAAGAAAGGAGAAAGATTCACAACTGGATCTACATTGATTGCTGAACATCTTATATGGCCTCATGTACATTTTATCCTGTTACAACCCTGGGAGGTATGTTTACATTTTACGGAAGAGAAGACTAGGACCTAGAGATTTTAAATAACTTGCCCAAGTTACATTGGCTACATGGCTAATAAGTGATAGAGCCAAGATTCAAACCCAGAACTATCTATCTCTAAGGACCATGCTGATTATATGCTCTCTTTCCAGGTACTAGGGTAATGTCCCAACAGCAGAGGATGCTAAGTTCTAGATGTTTGCATTCCCTTCACATGATTTGGAGAATTCCCCTCCCAAATTGGATAATGGATGTGGGGCAGGAGCCAACCATTCTTGTATTGATTATGCTGGTCTCTGTAGAAAGGAACAATGGTTTATGTTAGCTGGGTAGAAAGAGCTAAGCTTCATTTATATATCCTGTCTTTACTTTCCCCTGACTTAATTGCTTCCTATCATACCTCAAGTCTGCAATCCCTTTGCCTTCATTGTTTTTATTCACTTTGTTGAACCCAGGTTTCCTGAGCACTGGAGATCAGGCTGCCAAGGGCAACTATGGGCTACTTGACCAAATCCAGGCCCTCCGCTGGGTGAGCGAGAATATTGCCTTCTTTGGTGGAGATCCCCGGCGTATTACTGTTTTTGGCTCTGGTATTGGTGCATCCTGTGTCAGCCTCCTCACATTGTCACATCACTCTGAGGGTGAGTAGCTCATGGAGTAAAAAATAAATCATAAAGGTACTGGCTGCCTGCTCTGAACCTCAGGCTTTCCTGGCTCCAGAATGCCCAACTCCATATTCTGGGAGTACCCAGAGGAATCATCTTGCCTCTTCTACCAGCTCAGTATCCCTGTGAGGGAGAAATGGAAGGGAAATGGCTCTCTGGGAAAAGAAAAATTCTTCCACTGTGTGTGAGAGGAAAGAGAATTCCACTTTTATAAAGACTCTCCCTTTGACATGGGAATCTTATTTAGGAGAATGGAAATAGAATGCCTCTCTTTGAAGGGACAGTAGTTCTTCTTGGACAGGAGGAATCTTTTTGGTTTTGGAAAGGCACATTACTTCAAAACATATATAAGCCAATCTCACTATCTCTGACATACCTACCCTCTTTACCCTAGATATTGTGTCAATCCATCTCATCCAAGGTCTTCCTCTCCTGTGTTGTCCCTCAGCACTTCCAAGCATGACATCCATCTCCAAACACTGGTCCCTCCTGGCTCCATGTCCAAAGTATGTGAGACAGAGCTTCAAAATCTTTATCTCCAAGGAGCCACTTGGTTTCACCCTCTCCTGGAGGGATCTGTTAGTTTTGTTGGTGGTCTATGTTATGTTCAATACTCTTCTCAAGCACCACAGTTCAAAGGCATCAATTCTTCTGTCATCCTTGATCATTGTCCAGCTCTCTGATACATAGCAAGTAATTGCAAAGACCATGGCTTGGATCAGACACACCATTGTCTCTAGACTGACTCTTCAGCACTCTAGAGAGGTCCCTGACAGCACATTGTCCTAATGCAATTTGTCTTTTGATTTACTGACTGCTAGTGTTGATTGTGGATCTGGGCAAGCTGAAAGTGATAATAATCTCGATCTCTTCATCTATCATGATGCTGCCAATCGGTCCAGTGGTGAGAATCTTTGTTTTCTTGATGTTGAGCTTCAATCCATATTATAGACTACAGTCCTTGACCCTCTGCAGCAAATGCTTTAGGCCCACCTCAATTTCAACAAGGTTGTGTCATCTGCATAACTCAGGTTGTTGATGACTCTTCTTTCAATCCTGATGCCACATTTTTCCTCATAAAGTCAAGTTTCTTGAATTATCTGCTCTGCATACAGATTGAAAAGGTATGGAGACAGGACACATCCCTAATGCACTCCTGTTCTGATTTTGAACCATGTAATGTTTCCTTTCTCTGTTTTGATGACTGCCTGGTCCAAGTATACATTTTGCATGATCATAATCAGATGTTATAGGATTCCCATTCTTCTCAAGGTTAGCTACAATTTGTTGTGATCCACACACAAAGACTATAACTTTGCATAGTCAGTGAAATTCAGATAGACATTCTTCTGGTACTTTCTGCTTTTGACTGTCTCTAGGGCCACAGCCTCTTCTAAACCTAGCTTGTGTTTCTGGTAGTTTTCTGTCTACATACTGTTTCAGTCACTTTTGGGTAATCTTCAGCAGGATTTTGCTTGCATGTGATATTAGTGATATTGTTCAGGGTGGAAATAGTTTCTAGGCATGGAAAACATTTATTCTCTGTCTTTATCTCTGAAGAACAAGTCTTTAGAAGAGAGAAAAAGCACTTGAGGAAAGAGATGGGTCTGAGTCACTAATCTGTAAAGTGAGTTTCTTCTGAGGAATTGTTATCAATTATCAGATTCTAGAACTCATATAGGGCTATGTATTCAACATAAGGGAGACTCTGATTTTTAGACCCTGTGCTTTCAATGGGCCCCTCTGTCAATTAACCCTTTTAAGGGGGCCAAACTAACCATTTTTTTTTCTTGAAAGGAAATGTCATCTCCACTTTTCAAACTCTATGGAATATTCTACCTCAAGAGAGGAAAACTTAGCTTCTCACAAAGAAAAGATTTGAGATAGAAGCCCTTTTCTGAAGTAAGGGGATCTGTGAGCAAGGAAAGTTTTAGAGGTTCCCCCTCCAAGGAAATTGACTCTAGAGTTAACGCTGTTGTCATAGGAAGACTTTCAGTTTCTCTATAAAGAAGTCCTATTCCTCTTAGAAAAAAAATCACATTCTCTGACCTAGAAATTCTATCTCTGTCTCTCCAGGAAATGCCCTGGTGAGAGAAGATGAGGTCTGCATTTCTGAAACAGTGGTAGGTGACAGTGGTAGGAATAGCAATCCTCTACTCTAGGTGACAGTGGTAGGAATAGCAATCCTCTACTCACCAAAGAGCGAGCTCTGGTGGCCTACTGGTAAGAAACTTCACTACAATCCAGAAGGCACATGGTTTGAAACCATCAGCTGCTCCATAGAAGGATGGGCAATCTCCTCCCATGCAATTAACTGCTTCTCAAAGCCCGCTAGAGGGTCAGCTATGGGTTGATTCCAACTTGATGGTATACAACAACAACAACTCACCAAAGAGGGTGAAGTGATTGGTTGGGAGGGTGCCTGTGTCTGAAAAGAGGAATGATATCTCCCCTGATTGGGAACTATTTCTCTGAGAAAAACCTTTTCTGAAATGATGCTATAATCTGTTTCAGAAGAGATCTGTATCTCTGGAGGTCTGGCTTCTTTAAAGATTTGTTTTCTCAGTCTTTCTGTAATTCACTCCTAGAGCATAATCTTGAGAAAAATGAGAATCTTTGAAGTAGTATTTATATTTCTCACCCTTTCTTTCCTCTCATCAAAATTTAAAGGAATGGAATTACGTGTCTGTCTCTTGGGAATGTTAGGACCACTAGAGGAATTGTTCATTTTTCTTAAGAGGAGAAGAATAATTTTCTTTTTGAGTTTAGAGAACTAGCTCCCTCTCAGCTAGAGGAAAATTTTATTCTGAGTCATGAATAGCTCCAGTAAAAGGAATCTTTCCTTATAGAGGCAATAGATTAGGTAGACACACTGATTTCCTGGAGACTTTCAGACTCTAAGGCCTTTACTTAGGGGATCCTTTACCAAAACCCCAGAATGTAAGGGTCACTCCTGACTGCATTTCTCATCTTTTATGAAAAAGACTCCTTTGTAGTGTAAGCAGTAGCTCCCTGGTGGTGCCCTGGCACAGAGCTGTATCCAGCTGGGCCGGAAGCAAGAGGGAAAGACAGGGAGAGATAAAAAAAGAGGGAGCAAAAGGAAGCTGATAATTGGGATCCAAGAGTTAATTCTTCCTGACATTTCCTTAACCCTCAAGCTACCAACCATATCACTAAGACAAGAAGAAGCAGAAGCAGAACCAGACAGGGGTATCATGGAAGGGGCATAAAAGCCTTTCTCTGGTTCTAACACATCATACTGAGCCAAAAGTCATTCTTCCTATCTAGTCTATTTAAACCATAAGGTAACCTCAGTAATGAAGGAATTGAGAACATGTTTTATTTGTTACTGAGGGACTGGCATGGGAGGCCTAGACTGTGGGAGACACAGCAAATATCTGACCTGATGCTGCCTCTTTTTTGTAGGACTTTTCCAGAGGGCCATTATCCAAAGTGGTTCTGCTCTATCCAGCTGGGCTGTAAACTACCAACCAGTGAAGTACACCAGCTTGCTGGCAGATAAGGTGGGCTGTAATGTACTAGACACAGTGGATATGGTGGACTGTCTTCGGCAAAAAAGTGCCAAGGAGCTGGTAGAGCAGGACATACAGCCAGCCCGCTACCATGTGGCCTTTGGCCCTGTGATAGATGGTGATGTCATTCCTGATGACCCTGAAATCCTCATGGAACAGGGCGAGTTCCTCAACTATGACATCATGCTAGGTGTCAACCAGGGTGAGGGTCTCAAATTTGTGGAAGGGGTGGTAGACCCTGAGGATGGTGTCTCTGGCACTGACTTTGACTATTCAGTCTCCAATTTTGTGGACAATCTATATGGCTATCCTGAGGGTAAGGACACCCTGAGAGAAACTATCAAGTTCATGTATACAGACTGGGCAGATCGTGACAACCCTGAGACCCGCCGTAAAACACTGGTGGCACTCTTCACTGACCACCAGTGGGTGGAGCCCTCAGTGGTGACAGCTGATCTGCATGCCCGTTATGGCTCACCTACCTACTTCTACGCCTTCTACCATCACTGCCAGAGCCTCATGAAGCCTGCTTGGTCAGATGCAGCTCATGGAGATGAAGTACCCTATGTTTTTGGAGTCCCTATGGTAGGTCCCACTGACCTCTTTCCCTGCAACTTCTCCAAGAATGATATTATGCTCAGTGCTGTCGTTATGACCTACTGGACCAACTTTGCCAAGACTGGGTAAGGAGATATGAGGGTTCTTCTTTGGGACCCCAGCATGCCCTCTAAACCTCTTCCATTTTCTCCCTTTATAAGATCATCCCCAAATCTTGCTTGTTAACCTCTTCACTCCCTTCATACCCTCCATACTAAAGTCTTTCATGCCATTTTCTTTCCCTCAGAAATTACATTGAGACTCAAAATTTCATATTAAGAATAAGCAGGAGTGAGAATTACTGGCAGAACTATGGGACTCAAGACTAAAGGATCAGAGACCACATGAAGTGAGAATAAAGTATATTCAGAAAGAGCCTCTAAAGGGCCCTTCAGTAAACTGGGCAGCTGAAAAATTGATAGATGCTTAATAGCATGTGAGAAGAAAAAGCATTCATAGAGAATGAACATAGTACAGGATGATGCCATAGGGAATAGAAGTTTAAGCTCTAGGGAAGAAAGGGGTGTGGAGAGAGGGAGGGTCCTTTTGGACTGAGAAAGAGGTGTGTGAGAATACTGGGCTTTTTTCTCATTTAGGTAGAATGGTGACCTCAGGTTTCCGTGTGATATTTCAGGGATCCCAACAAGCCGGTCCCACAGGACACCAAGTTCATTCACACCAAGGCCAACCGCTTTGAGGAAGTGGCCTGGTCAAAATACAACCCCCGAGACCAGCTCTACCTTCACATTGGGCTGAAGCCAAGAGTTCGTGACCATTACCGGGCCACTAAGGTGGCCTTTTGGAAACACCTGGTGCCCCATCTATACAACCTGCATGACATGTTCCACTATACGTCCACGACCACCAAAGTACCACCACTGGATACCACCCACACCTCCCACATTACCCGCAGACCCAATGGCAAGACCTGGAGTACCAAGCGGCCAGCCATCTCACCTGCCTACAGAAATGAAAATTCCCAGGGATCTTGGAATGGGGACCAAGATGCAGGACCACTTCTGGTGGAAAACCCTCGTGACTACTCCACTGAATTAAGTGTTACCATTGCTGTGGGGGCTTCCCTCCTGTTCCTTAATGTTCTGGCCTTCGCTGCCCTCTACTACCGTAAGGACAAGCGACGTCAGGAGCCCTTGCAGCAGCCTAGTCCTCAGAGGGGCAGTGGGGCCCCCGAATTAGGAACTACTCCTGAAGAGGAGTTGGCAGCATTACAGTTGGGTCCCACACATCATGAGTGTGAGGCAGGTCCTCCCCGTGACACACTGCGCCTCACTGCACTGCCTGACTACACCCTGACCCTGCGGCGCTCCCCTGATGACATCCCACTCATGACCCCCAACACCATCACTATGATTCCAAACTCCCTGGTGGGGCTGCAGACATTGCACCCCTATAATACCTTTGCTACAGGGTTCAACAGTACAGGGCTGCCTCACTCACATTCTACCACCCGAGTATAGCTCTAGCCAGAGTTGTAGCCTTTCTTTTGGATCACTCTGCCACAGATTCACAAACATGAACACACAGACTATACACACAGAGACAAATATGTATAAGCACGCAACCACACCCTACAGCAGACCAACCTACACAAATAAGACAGATATGGACATGCAACTGCATAAACAAAGACACAAATACTGAAATCAACACTGAGCAGATCCTTCAAATGGGGACAAAAGAATCTTGGGCAAACTGAGGACTCATTAAAAAACTAAAGCCAGCTCCCCGGCCATAGACATCCCTGGTGGGCCTGAAAGCAACAGCTGGACATCTCCTTGGTGCTTGCCTCTGGACTCTATTGGACCTGCACCACCAACTCACTATAGACTTGGGAGCTTTAAAGAGCAGAGTAGCTCTTCCTCTCCCAAGCTTGGTCTTTTTCTGGGTCTTGTTTTTGTTGATTTTTTTTTTTAATTTAGAACAAATGTTTCTCCAACCTGTGAGTACAAAGAGGCTCTGGAAGAGAGAGCTCTAAACCATGTCTCTCTAACTCTGAAACTCCTGGTGTTCATACAATTAAACCAAGGAACAGGACCCCAAGGAAGAAATTGCTTTGAAAGAAACTGATTTGAGCAAGACCATAGGGTAGAAGGTCAATAAGACTATGATAGATGGTGTTGAAGGGCCATAGGATAGAGCTCTCCAAACATCTCTGGGTCCTTTTGGAGGGTTGTAGAGACTACAAGTTGGCCTGCTTCCCCAAAAGGCAATAGCATTAACCTGGTTAGACCAGGGTTCCTAGATTTGATGAACAAGGTTCTGTGGTGGTCATGTCATTCATTATTGGGCCCCTGGGCTCTGATTCTGCCTTTGAAGTAATGCTATCAGAAATTTGCCCCATTTTCTTTATAGAGTCTCCTTTGTGTCTTGTCATTTCTCTTTCAAAAAGGCAATGTTTTGTTGTTGGTGGTGGTAGTGGTGGCTTTTTTAAAAAGAAAAGTTCTTTAAACACTAACATGGAAACCCATGGAGTTTGTCCTTTGTAAAAATTTTAAACAGTGTCTTAATATAAAAATAAAAATCCAGTTAGCACTCCCAACCTGCCTTCCTTTCACAGGCCTTGCCCCAAAAGATCTCCAAACTGCCTCTCTTAAAGCAAATATAAATCTAAGTTCAATCTCCTGCCCCACCCCTCTCAAAGGTCTTGTTTCTGTTTATCAAGTTGCTGCCCCTGCTGCCCCACTCCTATGCTCTGAGTTCCTGAAGCTGGGGGCTTCTCCAAGTAACTTGGGCCTCCTTATGAAGCAACAAAAATAATACTTCCTCTGTTCCTGCTTCCACCACCATTACCACCACCTTTCCCCTATACAGAACCGGGTACTAGGAAGAGGTTTGATCTGTAACATGCTGAAATTTTTTATTGGATCAGAATCAAGTGCAACATCAGGTATGTGGACATGTCCTTGGGTGGCAGAGGGCAGAGGTACTTCTGCTGCCTTCTTTCCCTTGTTTCTTGTTCTGTTAATTAGAATTTAAAGTTATTTGGGCCTTGGGAGCAATTTATCTCCAGGACTGTGATCAGTGATTACCTATCAAGCTTGGGGCAGGGGATGGATTTAATGCGGTCCTACAAGGTTAGCAATATGTTATTTCGTATTAGTCTCAGTAACTTGATGAATTGGACTAGGAGTCTACTCATCTTTAAGTGAGTTTGCTGAAATTTCAGAAGCCAAGAACAGAATTCTTCAAAGTGATCCTGAAAAAAATAAGGAAGATGAACCATCATAATAAGGAGGATATAAGAAGTAATGAATATAACATAGTATATGTTGTTGTTATATGTCATTGAGTTCAAATTGACTCATAGCTGGCCCCCCATCAGGTTGTCAGAGGCTGAAAATCACATGGGAGAAGATTGCTTATCTTTCTCCCTTGGAGTAGCTGGTGAATCTGAAGCACCTAGCTTTAGGCTGACAGCCCAACTCCTTATACTTTGTGTAAGTATAGGCTTTGTATAAGTTAGGCTGCCAGAGCTCAGGTAGTATATACAAAGATCAAAACCCAGGACTAATATATTGTACAAGAGATCTGGGAAATGACTGACTTGACACAAATACAGTTTAGAAATTATCAAAGGACTAGGGAAAAAGCATTGGGTCACAAGTTGAATGAATCCATTGTATAGAAGTGATTGTCTTCTTCCTCTTCTCTTTTTCCTTCTGTACTTCTATCTCCTCCCCCCCCCCTTTTTCCCCTTTCTACAACAAGCATAGCTACTAACATTTAATAACAAAATATATAATGGATTTTACTAGGACAATGGGACACACAATTAAATGAATTTCACTAGAGTAAATTTTTTAAAAAGTATATATGCAGTAGCTGAAAAGAAATCAGAATCTCCATTTTAGAACTAATTTCTGAGTTATCTAGTAGAACTCCTCAGTTTATAGTTGGAAAAATGGTCCCAGAAAAGCCCAATATGTGTTAGAAATAGACTTGGAATGCAATCCAGAAATGTTAACCCTTCCTTCCTGTCCTACTCAGCATTTTCTGCTCTACCTAGCATTGGTTAGACCTTTTAACCCTTTAAGATCAAATTGTTTTATGCTTTAAATGTTTTGTTTTTGAAACCCTACATATTCAGTAATATGTATTTTGAATGGAAATTGAAGAAAATATTTTGAGGTAACATAGATTTTGGTTAATAGTGAAACTCACTATGGATTGTACCATCAGGGTTCCCCAGTAATACATATTTGGAACCAATTTATCCTCATCTCATTGCCACTGAGTCAGAACTGACTCATAGCTGACTCTCCAGTGGAATTTAAGGGAACTGTAAATTGTACCAGAAGACATTATCCATCCATCTCCCATGAAGCTGCTGGTAGATTCGAACCGTCAGACATTTATCACCTTTAGGGTAGCAGTACAACTTCCTATGGACTACACTACCCTTGACACTATTAGAGGGACACATACATTACAAAGGATCTCTGGTGTTGAGGTTTGTGGGATGAAGCCCATTTCTTCAGGTTCATACAGTTATACAGGCTCAAATCATATATCAACATATACTAAAAGTAAAATAGCAGCTTCCCACTAAATCTCAGAGACAGAAATGTAGGTGGTCATTATATCTATACAAGTCACAACAAAGTTAAAATATTAAATTGGTCTAGTCTTGAACAACACATTTTAAGAGTATGGAACAACTAGAAAGGAACAAAAGCAATGACCAAAGACTAGGATTTTTTTCTTTTACTTTAGAAGGCAGGAAGCCAATGTGGTAGTATATAAAAATTGTAATACACTTATTAGGTGACAAATGTGCTATAACCATCTTCAGAAATTTGACTCCTAAGTAAGGACAGAGCTGATGACTTGTTTTCCATTTCTACTGAAAATGGTAGAGAGGAAAAATGACATTGTTAGCCACAAGAAAAAACCCCTGGTGCCTTGGGGTGCTGGCCTCGGGGCCCATTGCGAATGAGAATTCACAGTGCTCCGAGTGCAGTCTTGCCAAATGGACTTGTGGAATCCTGGATATGGATTATGGAGAAAATAAGCAACTGGAAGAACTGAGTAGCAGTTTAGTGAAGAGGAGGGAAGCAGGCTTGTAAACACAGACGTTTAAAATGACACATATGACAACTAGGTAATTTAAAATACTTGGAGACATTGATAAAACATCTGCAAAACCTTCTGTCTACAAGCCTCCTACTCTCATCAGACAGATGGCGGCTGGTTTAGGTCCCCTGTTAGGCCCTATGCACCCTCCTATTGCCACTGAGTCCAAAAGAATCGTAGCTTTGCCTCCTGACAAACATCGCCTTGCACTGGCAATGCTATACTCTCCAGAAATGAGTCATAAGGAATCTGTCAGGACCTTGTACGTGACTGTCTTGGCTGCTATTTTCCCAGCTGTCAAAGAGCCTATCATCTGGGTCACCCCTGTCATTACTGGACATAAAGTGACTTGGCAACTGCAGATCTATGGAACCCCTCTGCTGTCAATCCCTGAAGTTCCTGATGATATACAACATAGACATGGAGTGTACCACGCCACAATGAACATTCTCGTCGCATTGTTCAAGGACTCCCGGGACAATGGCCACATGAGGTGTGCCGACAGACATTGAGCATATTCTTTATCCTCCTATTAACATGTCCTCTTATGTCATCTACATGGCTCCTCAGCACTGGTGTCATAAACTTCTGCGCAGAATTTTAAGTGCCAGATTCATAGGTCCAGCTGAACAGATGATGGAGCAGATCCATATGATAGCTCGGTGGTCACAGGTGACCACTCTCAAAGCTATTATCATATTCCTTAAGGAGTGTGATTCCAGCTTGATCCTAATACCGGAAGTGAAAAATGAGATCCCCAAGTTCAGTGAAGCATATGAGAGACTGCGAGAACAACTGGAGAATGGTTTCCTTATGCCAGGACAATCAGGCACCCTGAAGCCAGGAAGATGGTTACAGCAGCCTTTCCAAACCTGGTGTCTGCATCCCTGTACCATGGCAGCGACCACGCCCTCCATGTGCAGCTATAGAGAAGGGAAACACATTAAAGGAGGGCTCTCTGAAGAGTCACTCAAAACTGCTTTTGCGCACAAAATCTCAAGTTTACAGTGGGCTGCAGTGTACAAAGACTGAACCACTGAGCAGTTCCTAGGCAACAATGATAAGGGGACCAACCAAGTGTCACCAACAGAGGCAGAATCGTCCATGGAAGATGATTGATGAGGTTTTGGTTTTACTTTCAAACAACCCAGATAAACTTCCCAGCAAGCAAACAAATGAGAAACTCAAACTGAGGAAACAATAAAAGCTGAAGGAGACAATTGAATGGCTCCTGTGAGGCATATGAAGATTGGATCCACTAAAACATTTAAAAATTAAGTGTGGTAGGAGTGAGTGGAACAAAAAATAATTTTTTAAACACTAGAATATAAAGGAGAGATTTATGTGTGGCATAGTGTGAAAAAAAGTGTTGAGGGTTTATTGAAGGTGTATATGTTGGTGATATCAGGAAAGAAAATGTTTTGAAACTAGCCTTTAACACAGCCTGGAAGCTAGAAGTTACCATATGGAAACCGGCAAAAGGGAGAAATGGAAGAGCCCCATTTAAGGGAATTTGAGGAACAGTAAAGGTGTTGAAGTTCTATTTTTGTTATTGTTTGCAGTTTTTTGGGGGTGTTTTTCTTTGTTTTAAATTTCTTGATATTAATGCAACAGTATCTTCAAAGCTGAGTTCTTCAAAAAAACCTGAATGAATGTAAATAGTTTTAAAATTTAGTGCTTCAGTGCTTTGGGAAGAGGAGACACAAAACTAGCTGAACACAATGAGGTTGAGCATGTGGCTTCAAAAGTGATTTCTGAGAGAAATCACTTTTGGAAGTTCAGGAAGTTCAGGCAGTCAACATGAATGAAACTTGGAAACATGATAAGAAACCAGTTATATGACTATCTAAATATCCAGAATAGAAAATCTCTACAGAGTAGAGAGGTAGATTGGTGGTGATGAGACCTGTAGAGGGTGGAATTAGTAATTAATAGTGAAGCATACAGGTTATTTTTGAGGTTAATAAATATGTTCTAAAATTGAGGATTACACATCTGAACATTACTAAAAGCCATTGAATTGTACACCTTAACTGAGAGGGAAATGAACATTTCCAAAAAAGACAAGACCATTCACTTTGTATTTTGTCCTGTTAAACAGAGGCTATCAACTTTACCAAAATCAGTTTGACTCTATTTATGTAGAACATGGGGTTTATGCAATAAAATAAATGTTGACGCTTAAAAGAAAAGAAAAAAAATCCCTGCTATGGGTAAGAGATGATCATAGGCACATAATAAGTCCTCAATAGTTACCATATTGAACAGATGACTACTAAAGAAAGTCTTCATCTTTCTGAAAACAGAAGATTGAATTACATGACCACCTGAGGTCTATTGAGAGTGATGAAGGAGGAAGTTCAGGCTGTTCTGAAGGACTTGGCAAAAAATAAAGCCTCAGGAATTGATGGAATACCAATTGATGTATTTTAACAAACAGGTACTTCCCTGGATGTGCTCACCAGA